TAATGGCGTATCATTACACAGCACAGTATATCTATAATATTGAAAAAATTGTATACAAAAATATATAAAATGTACATAAATATATGATTTAAATTACATCTTACATCCCTTTTAGTGGCAATATACATGTTTGCCATGAGCTACACTGCAGACTTTTTGCATATGTTTGCATTATTTTCTTTATTTTAAATATACTGTACTTTGCAATGTATTGATAAGGCTTTACAAATTGTGATCCCTTTGGAAACAATGAAATCATTGCAAGTAATCTAACCCTTCACTGGAGTGCTCTAAACTGAAAAAAAGTTGGCTTTGAATTCACTTTCATTAGAGAATTTTACATTTCAATTTATGAACTCAATAAGTGTTCCTAGGGCTAAAACAGCTGTAATATTTTATATGTAGACATAAGGTACACTTAGCTAGCACTAGGAGAGAAGTCTGATTAATATCCGGGTTAGTTTAGTGTTTCAGTGTTACTTTAATAAGCCTCTGACCTACAAAGCTTTTTCCAGTCTAGGCCTCATTCCAGATGTTCTTCCAAGCTCAATATCTGCTCTGAAAACATATTACTTCTCTCCTGCCTTTATAACCTTATATCCAAGTCTTTCCATTCTCTGGAATCAACTTTATTAATTTAATCAGCTGAGACTAGTTTATTCTAAGCCATTTTTTAATTTTCAAATGAGTATAGAATTATACTCAAATGTTCATTCTGGAGAAAGTATATCTACCCAATACTAACCAACTGCCGACTCTCGAATAATTTCTCTCCACTCTCTGTCAGGAATGGACTTGCCAATGGTGGTGGGACTTACCTGCCTTGTGGGCTGCAGTACCAGGGCTGGCCAGCGGGTGCTCTCAGCAACCGGAGGCTCACTCCTGCAATCGGCCATCACCTGAAGCTGATTGCAGCGCTGAGCGAACCATTGGCGCTTTATAAATACTGTATAATAATAATAATGTATTTAAGGAATGGCCAGACCTGCCATCAGTGCCTTGGTGTATGTTTCCCATGAGCCCCTGTACCTGCATCCTGTCTGCTTCCTGCCTGATCCTGATTCTGACTCTGCTTTGAACCTTCTCTGAACGAACTCCGCCTGTCCTGACCTCGGCTCTTTACCTGACTAATCTCCGCCTGCTCCTTGTACCTTGCCTGCCCGTTTGCTACCGACCTGGCCTGCCCGACTACGTTTAATATTGTTCTTATTGTTATCTGTTGGAGGTTTGTTTGCACTGTGTTTATGTTTAGTCTTGCACTGCGTTTATGTGTTGTTTAGTCTTTAATAAATTGTATTGTTTATACTATATCTGGAGCCTGTGTTTCCCTGTGTCAGTCCACACATCTCTGGTCATAGCTGGAGCCATGACACTCTCGATTACTTCTTAGACGGAACCCTTATACTTGGAGGAGATTTCAATCTGACCATTGACCCTCGTAAGGACTCTTCAGCTCGATCCACTGCTCTTCCAAAGTCACTAAGACTGTGTCTCAATAATCTCTCTTACTTGCGACAATTAGTCGATATTCGGAAGAACTTCCACCCTTGCGAAACAAGACTATGTGTATTTTATCCCTCTCATGGTCCTTATTCTAAAATCAACTTCTTTCTCATACAACATTCCTCCATTTCTCTGACCTCTAAGACTTATATAGCCTTATTGTGCTCTCTGATCACACTCCAATCTCCCTAGAAATTTCTCCCCACCAAAAGATAACCAGAGACACTGCTGTGGCACCTTAGCGAATCATTGCTAAAAGACCTTGATATAGTAGCTGACATTCTACACAAATTAGATGTTTATTTTTTCACAAACTCCAGATCAGTTCCCAACCCCCTCTCTTTGTGGTTGGCACATAAGTGTTACATCCAAGGTATCCTCATTAAACATGGAAATGCAGCCAAACAACGCAGACTACAATCCCCAAATGACTTAATTACTAAGCTAAATACTCTAGAAGGACAAAACTAACCCTGACCCAGACACGGAAGTGGAACTCACAAAAGTTTGAGAATCGATTAGGGAACACTCCCTTTATGAGGCTATACACATCCTTTTGAGGATGTTCTTATTACGAATATGGGGACAAATGCGGTTGCATGCTGGCTAGAGGTTTGAAGGCCCAGAATACCGGATCATTTGTCTTTGCCCTAAATTCTACATCTGGCAAAAAAATCCATTCCACACCAGAGCTGGCCAATGCTTTTCACACATTTTACTTGGCCCCATTTTCGAGCCACATCCTCCACCTCCCAGCAGGCAACCCAACTTTCAGACATTGCTAATTATTTGAGAGAAGCCCTGTGCTTATGCAAGATGAATGAGATTCCCTGACACATCTGATTTTGGCTGATGAGCTGGCAGCAACCATAGTGGGTAAAGCCCCTGGCTATGATGGATTTATCATTGCCAGGGGCGGACTGACCATTTGGAAACTCGGGCACTGGGATCAGTAGGGGGCCCCATGAAATGCTTCTGGTACCATTTTCATAGGCTTTTTTGAGTTTGGGCAAGGACACAGGGGCCCCATGATCTCCTATTGCCCAGGGGCCCCATGAGTTGTCAGTCCGCCCCTGATCATTGCATATTACAAAGCCTTCTTCCCTCAACTCATGCCTCACTTCTTGAACACTTTTAACACTATCACAGAAGGCCAGGGTGTTTCCATCGACCTCCTACGGGCCAGTATCTCTGTGATCCTGATGCCAGACAAAGATCAACTCCTTTGTGGTAGTTACCACCTCATTTCTCTTCTGAACTGTGACGTTACATTGTTCACCATCAACACACCACATATTTATCTCCCCACTCACTGATTCATGCTACATTGATGGAATTAGGAAGACTGAACAAACTTTCTTCTTTACAAAGCTTTCCGTCTCTGATGACACCAATAATAGGACACTCGTCATTCGCCCCTGGTCTGACAGACTCCGCATTTTTCCAATACGCTCATTAAAAACTTCTACACTCATCCTTTTTCCTCTAAACCCACAGGTTGGGCACCAGGTAGCATTTTCTTTGCTCAATTAGGACCCAAAATCTTAAACAACTGGTGAGCCTATCAATTATCACATTTCTTCAGCACTCTCCCCAAACCACACTTTTTTCAAAGGCCACATACCATGTTTGAGGAGCTTTGTCTGGGTGAACAACTAATCCGAAAATTATTATCACTGTCTTACCAATTCCTACTGACATTACATGCACGGATCCTCCGTCCCTGACAACGTGGGAAACAGATCTACAAACCACTTTCTCTGAACATCAAAAGGATCAGATTCTCTTCTTCGCACAAAAATCTTCGTTGTGCACTAACTATCAGGAAACAACCTATAAAATAGTGACCAGGTGGTACAGGACCCCATCGGTTTTGGCCAGATTGTTTCTCACAGGAAAGTGACCAATGCTCGAGATGTGGTGCTCACTCAGGTATACTTCCCCATATCTTTTGGGAATGCCCTGTAATTTGTCCATAGCAAGTCCTGAACCTCCGATATTTGGGGGAAATCGGAGGAACTCCGGACTAGGTGATTCTACTGGGATCATTTTTGTTTCTCTGACAAATATTCTCATTATGTTTAAATCCTTGTCTTACCGCTACTGCCTTTGCGGTTCAATCTAACCTCAAGCCATATAGAACCTCTACTGCTTTCTTTCTTGGTGCCCATCACCCTCCTTCCCTCCCCCCCCCCCCTTTTTTTCCCCCCCCCTTCTCTCTATCTCTCCCCTACAATTCCCTTTTCAACCTCTTCTTTTTTTCTTTTAATTCTTACCTATTCAAAATAATAAAGCTCATTAATGACCACATCCTTGGCCAGTAGACATTAGACATTAGCACGATAGGTTATCAGAGATTGCGACTAAGGGTTTTAGATCCCTACCATGCCACTAGGTGTGCCTACCTGAAAAGACTCCCATCTTTTTCAGACACGACTTTTATACCACTGAGTTTCCACCTGTTTTAATATGTCATGACTGACAATGTTAGTTCTAATGATCTTATTGTTCTTTTTTTCACTTGGGATGTAACCTGCTTTGCTTTGCAAGCTAGTTGATGCTTTTATCTCTTAGTATTTTCATGTGCATTTATAAATTAAAAAAGTAGAAAAAAAAAGGCAACTCATGTCAATACTTATCAAAATCTCTGCGGAATGTTTCATACACGCAGACTTAAGGCAGTTCTGAAGGCAAAAGGGAGTCCAACCCGATACTAGCACTTCTTTTGAGTTAAACTTAAAACTATTTTTTCTGTAATTTCAAAGTCAGTATTTTATCAGTTTGGAACTACAATCATTTCTTTAAATTATTTTGTACTTTTATGGGGTAAGGTCAAAATGTTTAATTATTGTGTGTTTTGTTTTAAGTAAAATTATCCTAAAAATGTAAAAAAAAATCTTTGTATTTATTATTTTTATTATCTATTTTTTAGGGGGAAAACAAATTACCATGATCTTTAAATGTTTTTCCAAATAAAAAGAGTGTGCGAGATTAGAAAAATGTGAGAATATTCTATTTTCAAACTTTTCACTATTGATGTCTTTGACCAATTTTTCAAATTAAAGAATGTGTGAGATCAACCAGACTCAGGTCACACAAATTAAACTACTTGGATTTCGAGGTCTTTATAAATTTAGGATTCTGCTGTTCACAGTGTTCCTTCTAATATACATAATAATACTAAGTGGGAATTTTGTAATAATAACCTTAGTGGCAACTGTTGCCCAGCTAAAAATTCCAATGTTTTTCCTTCTCAAGCACTTGGCTACGTCTGATGTCCTAGTGACCACCAGTGTGTTACCGATGACTCTGGAGGTCATTATTAAAGATGAATTAAGTATATCACTGGCTGGTTGCATCACTCAACTTTATTTTATTGGTACTTGTAGCTGTTCACAAAGTTTTCTTATTGCTGTCATGTCCTACGATCGGTATTTGGCCATCTGCAATCCCTTACGCTATTCATCCATTACGAACTCCAATGTGTTTTTTCCCAGTTGATCATCGGGTTATGGGTTTTGGTTATCATTTTAATGTCAAGTGAAATGATCGTGGAATTTCAATTTAATTACTGTGATCTTAATTTTATAGACCATTATTTCTGTGATTTTGGACCGCTGGTTAAATTGTCCACCTCCGACATTTCTGCTTTGATGCTCCAAGACTTTGTTATTTCTATTGTTACAATATTTGTACCATTTACGTTCATTATTGTAACATATGTCTGTATTCTAGTCACTATTCTGAAGATATCTTCCATTTATGGCCAAAGAAAAGCCTTCTCCACTTGTAGTTCACATTTGGCTGTGGTTTGTGCTTATTATGGAACATTGATCACTGTTTATGTGGTTCCAACTGATGAGAGCTCAACCAACATGAATAAATATAGGTCCCTCCTCTACACTGTGGTGTCTCCATTGATGAATCCTATCATATATAGCCTGAGAAACCATGAGATCAAGAGAGCTCTGCAGAAAATGATGGCTACTTTTAAGACTTTTGTCAGGTAGTAAAGCAATTGTATATTTAACTTATAGACACAGCCGTAAAATTAATTTAAGGACTACCTTCAGGAATTACAGCACGCCACATGAAGGCAATTAATGTAGTTGTAAACCTCAGACATGAAATATGAACAAAGCATATCCCTCTCAGTGTGTATTTGTCTCAATAAAGAGCACTAAGTATATTTTTTGTCTGCTGCTTTGTTCCTCTGCTATCAGCGTGAATCATTTCTGAAAAGTTTTCCTGACACCAAGAGAAAAAAAAGGTGATTAGGGAAGGAGCTCCAACACACAGTCTGTCATTGACAGACTCAGCTCTGTTCCTCTGTGCTGTGTTGAGGGGGGCGTGTCCCTTCCCTCCAATCAGCTCTCAGAGCTTTCCTCACTGCAGAGTATAATTTCAGCTCCCCCACCCCCTGCTGTCTGAAAGCTCAGACAAACTGTACAAATTCTGAATAGATGTAGAGGGGAGAGGTCTGCAGATAAACAGGTACAACTTATGTAGGATGATTTGCTTCATTTCTGTGTATCAGCTGAGGCCAGTCACTTCACTGAGCATATGTTAGACCCTTTTCACACAGGAAGGACTTCTACCCACTGGTCCGTAGGAGACAGGTCCATGGCCCCTCCTCTTATGCAGAGTAGACACGGACACAGCGCAGTCTCCTCTATGGGCAGTTGGATGTAAACAGACCGTCTGTCATCTGATCTGACCAAACAGAGGGGAATGATCCCCCTTCCATTTGTTTTTATCATATTGGATTCATATTGGATACATTCATTTACCCATAGAGGAGAATGGAGGATCCCGTCAGGTCAGTCTGAAAAATGGAAAGCGGACCTCATTGGACTGCTGCTGTGATATGGGCCTAAGGGTTTAAAGCCACTTTAAGACTGCCAGACACATTCATGGTTTGACATGGAAAAGATTTGGACTTCCACAGGCCATTGAGTCTATTGGTACGTTGTGTGGGAACTCGCTTCAAGTGGTAGAGCTTCTTCAAAGCACACAGCAACTCGCTTATTTTTTAAGGGCCTGTTTGCCCACTTTTATTTAAGAAAGTTCAAACAACCAAAATTCTTCCCACGCAGGGGTATCCACCATCACACGAATTCAAATAAACAGTATTCAGCCTCCTGGCTTGTACGCAGTTTTAAGTCTGCCTCCTGCAGACTCTTCCCCAAAGTATGGCACTAGCACACAGCTAGTCTGGCTTCCACCTCTCCTAGGTGTAGCCCACCTGACTCCACGGCAGAGACCTCCCGTCTGCCTGGGTGGAGTCCTCCTAACTGCCGGGGTGGAGCCCAGAATCATGGCCTGGCCTCCACTAAAAGGCCTGCACACACACCTGTGCAATCAGCACGCTGGCTGCTCCCAAAATATGGGCCCAGGATTGGAGATTTCATCCCTCCCAAATCTCTAAGAAATCTCCAGGCTACAGGTCCCAAAACAGGCTTTACAAACCAAAGAGGAAACTTATAAATCAGTTTCCTCTGCATTGTGAGAACTGCCTGGAGCCCCTCAACCTGTTTAGTTGAGAATCCTGTGTCTCCATCATGATTTCCACCATGGCAGGATACCGCACTGCCACAGTTGGAATAAATATTATTGAAATATATTATCTATGTAGTAGATATTTTGTCTTAGAATTATAACATTAACCTAAAAGTAATTTTTGATGTGACTTTCCTGTTATCCCCTCAGTAACAAACTCTTACAGTATTCCATTCCATTCTTCAATTGTGAAAACACCTTGTTGCCATGCTAACTTTATTACCTTTTGAGGCATTAACCAGAAACTAACATTCAGATCAGGAGTTTCTTCTGGCTTACTAATCTGCATGCTTGGCCCATGCTAGTGAGTCAGACACTATTAAATTCATAGGCCCTGCAGCTAGCATTTTTAGAAGAAGGTTAGCAGAGATAACCCCCTGTGTTACCCCTGCTACGTACATGGTTCTTTAAGTCACAAGTGATTGGTTAAAGTGGTTGTAAAGGCTCAAGGTTCTATACCTTCATGCATTCTATGCATGAAGGTAAAAAACATTCTGTGTGTAGCAGCCTCCTCAATATTTACCTGAGCCCCATCGTGATCCAGTAAACTGCATGAAAGCCTCAGCCGTCCCAGGTCTCTGCCTCCTCACTTGCTGAAACAGCAAGTGGGAGCCATTGGCTGTCAATCACAGTCAGTCAGACAATGAGGAGACAGGGGTGGGGCCAAGACATGTCTCCATGTGTGAATAAACACATGGAGCAGTGGTTTGGGAACACATCGGCTTGGGTGCCTCCATAGCTGATTGCACCGAAAAGAAAGGAAAAGAGAGGAGCCAGGAGCGCCGACAAGGGACCTGAGAAGAGGAGGATCCAGGTGAACAAAAGCAAACAAGGGCACACTCTCATCGTGCACACCACGTATTTATTGAAAAAACAAATACATAAATACTCACAAACCAAAGAGAATAAAAACAGAACAGGTAGTCTGCAATAACAGTCCAATGCAATACTCTGTCCTACGTAGTGATAAGATGATGCGTTTCGGGAGACGAACCCCCTTCTTCAGAGATTTATTTTCTTTGGTTTGTGAGTAAATATCTATATTTTTTTTTTCAAAAAAATACACGGTGTACCATGGTAATGCATGATGAGAGTGCGCCCTTGTTTGCTTTTGTTCACCAGTACCCAGATTTCCCGATCTTTGAAGGGCTACACCTCACCATTTGGCATTCCGAATACCTTTTAGTCTGCATGAAGATTTGAGCGCTGGTTGCGTTTGTTTTTTTGGTTAAGAGGAGGATCCAGGCTGCTATGTGCAAAACCACTCTACACAGTAGGTAAGTATCACATTTGTTATTTTAAAAAAAAGAAAGAAAAAGAAAAGAACCTTTAGAATTGCTTTAATCATAGGGAAGTGTCTTTAGGCTGGCATCACCATTCATACATACAGATGAGTTTACATGATCCACTTTCAACTTTATCAGTGTTCTTTTGGCAGTTGTTAACTTATTAAACATCCTTACCATTAAACATGTCTAAAAGTAAAATAAAAATCTAAGGAAACTAAAAGTGCATTCTAAGCTCCATTGCTATATTTCCTGATATTTTCCTTCCTTTCCTTCCTCCCCTCCCTTCCTCCCCTCCCTCCCTCCCTCCCTCCTTCCTTTCCTCCCTTCCTTCCTTCCTTCCTTCCTTCCTTCCTTCCTTCCTTCCTTCCTTCCTTCCTTCCTTCCTTCCTTCCTTCCTTCCTTCCTTCCTTCCTTCCTTCCTTCCCTCCCTTCCTCCCCTTCCTTCCTTTCTTCCTTCCTTCCTTCCCTCCCTCCTTCCCTCCCTTCCTCCCCTTCCTTCCTTCCTTCCTTCCTTCCTTCCTTCTTTCCTTCCTTCCTTCCTTCCTTCCTTCCATTCCCTCCTTCCTCTCCTCCCTTCCATTCTTCCTTCCCTCCATTCCTTTCCTCTTTTCTCTCCTTCTATCTTTCCCGCCCTTCCTTCCTTCCTTCCATTCCCTCCTTCCTCCCCTCCCCTCCCTTCCATTCTTCCTTCCCTCCATTCCTTTCCTCTTTTCTCTCCTTCTATCTTTCCTGCCCTTCCTTCTTTCCTTCCTTCCTTCCTTCCTTCCCTCCCTTCCTCCCCTTCCTACCTTCCTTCCTTCCTTCCATTCCCTCCTTCCTCCCCTCCCCTCCCTTCCATTCTTCCTTCCCTCCATTCCTTTCCTCTTTTCTCTCCTTCTATCTTTCCCGCCCTTCCTTCTTTTCCTTCCTTCCTTCCTTCCTTCCTTCCTTCCTTCCTTCCTTCCTTCCCTCCCTTCCTCCCCTTCCTACCTTCCTTCCTTCCTTCCTTCCTTCCATTCCCTCCTTCCTCCCCTCCCCTCCCTTCCATTCTTCCTTCCCTCCATTCCTTTCCTCTTTTCTCTCCTTCTATCTTTCCTGCCCTTCCTTCCTTCCTTCCTTCCTTCCTTCCTTCCTTCCTTCCGTCCTGGGACACCTGATGTAAAGGAGGACAGCTGATGGGTGTTTATTTAATATTTATTTTTGTAACTTTACTCTGCATAAAACATTTAATAATGTTATTTCTTGAGATAATTTATGAGGATGTATTTAGGGGTGAGGCAGGGTAGGGATTTGGTGGGACAACTTTTTTTTTTCTTTACTTTAATTGGTGATATTTAATTACTATGTAATAAAATTAAAGAACAAGTGTAAGGCATTTATGCTGATTTTGCTAGACATTGGTTAGCATCATGCACAGAAGGAACCTTTCATCATTTGTAGTCTCTGAGGATAGGCACAGAATTATGACATTCCCCAATACGTTCCCTTTGCTTCTACTAGTATAAATAGAGGTAACACCTGAGAAAGTGTACAATTTGCTGGCACACCTTACAGAGGAACAGAGCTATAATTGAAAAATATTTACACTCATGCCCATCTGCTCTGAGAGAAACACGTTACAGTAAGTAAAATATTTGTACCCGCTAAAAAATAAGTGCTTTTTCTTTTAATTTTTGCTTCCTCTAGAATTTTATTCCTTATGTGTCTTAGGAAATCTGAAAATATATAGGAATGCAGATATTGACACCCATTATATGTTATAAAGACATGCAAGCCATCAGCATCAGGGATGTATAAATACAAGGCAAAATTGGTATTTCTCTCCGTAAACTACAAATACTCTGTTCCGGAAATGGACTGCAAATGAGCTCATCACTCAATCCTAAGGTGATGTAGGAAGGTAAGTCAGCAACTGTTTTAAGGTGGAGAGGTTTTTTTTTTTTTTTATATAAATGCTCAATGTGATTGAATGTATCCTTTTTGGAATTAAAAAATATAAAACAATAGTGAGTGATTAACTTTAATCTATTTGCTCCTACTAAGGATTCTAAATTGATATTTTATGACAGAGGTGTCAAACTCAATTTATTGCAGGCCACATCAGCATTATGGTTGCCCTCAATGGCCAGTTGTATCTGTAAGACTGTATAAATGTATCTATTATTATTATTATTATACAGTAT